TGTCTAGTTTGGAATGAGTATGATACTGACTTCATAGAATGAGTTTCACAGAATTTGAGCAGTACTAATGTTATCTCTTCCTTAGTTGCTTTTTTTTTTTTTTTTTGCAGAGTTGAGGACGGAGCTCAGACCTTGGGCCTTGCACTTGCCAGGCAAGTAAGCTGAATTCCCAAGCCTGGTTAAAGGTCTAATAGAATTCTTCAGTAAAACCATCTAATCACTGCTTGTATAGATCTATTTAGGTGGTTTATATTCTCTTGGTTCAACTTTGGTAGAAAACTGTACTAGAAATTTATCCCTTGCTAGGCACTATTGGCTCAAGCCTGTAGTCCTAGCTACTCAGGAGGCTGAGATCTGAGGGTCATGGTTCAAAGCCAGCCTGGGCAGGTAAAGTCCATGAGACTTTTATCTCCAGTATCACCAGAAAACCAAAAGTGACTCTGTGTCTCAGGTGGTAGAGCACTAACCTTGTGCTGAAGAGCTGAGGGACAGTGCTCAGGTCCAGAGTTCAAGCCCCATGATCAGAAAAAAAGAACAAAGAAATTTATCCCTTTTCCCCCCCTAGACTTACCAGTTTAAGTATAGGATTTCAAAGTATTCCCTCATGACTACCTGCATTTTACTGGTACTTATCATGGTGTTCCTTTTTCACCTCAAATTTTCTTGAGTCTCTTCTTTTTGGAGGGAGGGGATCAAATTAGCTAGCAGTTTATCAATCAATCTTATTTTTTTTCAAAGAACCAACTTGTTCCATTAATTCTTTGTAATCTTTTTAGTTACCCTAATTAGTCTGCCTTAATCTTTACTATTTCTTTCTGTGTTAATTTTGAGTTTAGTTTGTTCCTGTTTTTCTAAATGTTTGTGGTGTATCATTAGGCATTGTTCTTTTCTTTTTTCTTTTGCCAGTTCTGGGGCCTTAACTCAGGGCCTGGGCACTATGGCTGAGTTTCTTTTGCTCAAGGCTAGCACTCTACCACTTGAGCGACAGCGCCACTTCTGGCTCTTTGTTTATGTGGTACTGAGGAATTGAACCCAGGGTTTCATGTATGTTAGGCAAGCACTCTACCATTAAGCCACATTCCCAGCCCATCTCTGTTCTTTTGACGAAGTCACTATGGCTACACATTTTCCTCTTAAAATTGCCTTTGTGGTATATCCCAT